CCCTGTGCCCCCATCTCTCCATGCCCCCCTGTGCCCCCCACCAGCTTTCTCCTGGGAGCAGGCTTAATAGACCACTTGCACCAAAATCCCCGTCTCAGGCTCCAGCTCTCACCCGACCTAAGATAGCACCGATTCAAGCTATAAAATGGTGTGTGGCTAAATAAAGCCTGCTGGGCCTGGGACTTGGGGGCTGCTGGTCAGCAGCCTCTGACGGCCTTCCCCACGTTCCCGAGGTCTGTGCGGTGAAAACTCGACAGGACTGCCCTGTTGCTCTGCCTTTGACTGGGTGCAGTCTTAACACTTTTGAATCGCTTTCCATTAGTGGCAAATATTTGAGTTCTCCTTCTCTGACAGGTTTCTGCCTTATACAGGTTCCGGCTTTCGCAGGTTTTACTGTACTGTTATTCCCATTTTACAGATGAGGAAACAGGCTCAGAGAAGCTAAGAAACTTCTCAGCGTGAGTAGGGCTTCAAATGTGGGCCATTTCCTACTATAAATCCTCTATTTGTATGACCCCGTGCTGGCTCCCTCGTAAAAGTACTAAGGGGGAGTTGACCGGGGATGAACATAATGCCCCACACCAGACTCTATAGCCCAACAGCCCCCTAAGAACATGATGAGGAGTGTGCCTCTCGTCCCAAGGGCTGGGCAGGCCCAGTGTGGTGACACGCTGCCCTGGCAGAGGACAGCGGGGTGCTCACCGGGGTTAACCTCCATGTAGCGGCCCACGCCGTAAGCATCCACGATGCCCTGGAAGCTGGCCGTGAAGCGGTTGGTGTGGATGAGCGTCGGAGGCATGTCCCGGCAGGGGATGCAGTGAACCACGGCGCTGACGCCCACCTCGCTCTAGGGCGCCGGCGGGTGGACAGACAGAGACATAGAGACCGATGGTCAGATCAGTCTCTATGGTCAGGGACCTTCTAGCCTCCTCAGCCCCGGCCAGGCCCAGCTAGGGGTGCAGTGCTGGCCTCACTGGGCAGGCACTGGGGGAGCCTGGGCCTCGGGCTCCCCATCTGTGAAATGGGATGATCAGCTCCAGGTCAGGGAGTGTGGGGGAGGCTCAAAAAGATCCGGAAGTTGTTGGGAAGTACACGTGTGCTGCAGATCATCCAGGTGGCCAGGAGAGGGAGCACCATCCTCACAGGTGAGCACCCACTACCCCCAGCAGCGACCTCTGGGGCAGGGTTACCACACCCACTTCCCAGGTGAGGAGCTTCAACAGGTCTGGGGGAGCCTGGATTTAAACCCAATTTCTGACTTTTTCAACAGTCCCACATAGCCTCCAGGGTGCTACCTGCCAATGCCAGGGGCAATCAGGGCTGACTCCTCGGAGGAGGTGGGATGGGGTGCGGCATGGAGGACCCCCCCCACCTGAAGGTGTGCTGTGAGGCGGTGGCAGGTGGGAGCAGAGGATGTGGGGGGCGGGGGCGGGGAGCCTCACGTGCTTACCGAGCTCTCCTGCAGTGCTTGCTGTATGGTAGGCAGGTCACGTGTGGGGCACCAGGCCTCGGCAATGAGACACTTGTGGGTGGCACTCACGCTGCACTGGTTGAGGGCCAGGTACACGGCTTTCATCTTGCGGATCTGCACCTGCCAGGGGGGCAGCAGCCGCTGTACCCGGCCCAGCACCTGGCTCAGGAACCGCTCTGTCTCTCCCAGGACCTGGGGGCCAGAGTGGGCGGTCAGGAGGAGCCGGGGGTGGGGGTGGTCGTGGCAGGCAGGGGGTCTAGACTGGCTGGGCACCCACCTCCCGCAGCTCCTGGCTCTGCTGCTGCAGCTGCTGCAGGACCCCGCGGCGGGCCTCCTCCTGCTCCTCGAATGGGAAGACGTGGCAGTGGAAGCTGGCAGGGGGACACAGGGTGACGCGAGAGGGGCCAAGGGGCAGCCTGGGCTGGGGGCAGGATGTCCCAGGCTGTGTGGAGGCTGCTGGGAGATTCAGAGGGGGAGCCCACCAGGCAGTGTGCTGGGGACCGGCATTCTTGGTGGAGAAAGCGCCCTGTGTGGCTAGGGGGCAAGCAGGGGCCTGGGCACAAGGGTGCCCCCAAGAGGCCAGGGCCAGGCTGGACAGGGTGCTGAATGCCCACTCAAAGGGCAGCGGCCCTGGGTCAGGGGGCAGCGTGCAGCTCACCAGTCGGTGATCTTGTGGATCTTCTGCCCGATCTGCTCGCCCCAGTAGGAGATCAGGAAGGTCATCCAGGTGGCAGGCTCACCCTGCCGAAGCCAGGCTCACTTTACCCTGGAGCCCTGGGTGCCCCCACCTGGGGCCAGATGCCCGAGCCCGGGCCCCACAGCCATTCATCCCAGCCCGGGACCCCTGATCGCTCACCCCAGTCCAAGCCCCCCACCCACTCACCACAGCTGGCACCCCAACCCGTTCACCCAGCCTGGGCCCCCCACCCGCTCACCGTCACGGGGTCCTCCAGCGGCTGCTCAGTCTCCAGGAAGCTGGCGATGAGGAAGCCGCGGCAGGCCCTCCAGAGCAGACGCTCCAGGGCAGCAGCCTTGTGTGGCTCCACGGCTCCCGCCACGAAGCTGCAGAGGGCGGGAGGGCTGGGCAGGGGCTGCTTCAGCCCACCCCCCAGCCTCATCCCACCCGGGCCACCCGCCAGGCCTGGCCAGGATGGTAATCAGAACACTGGCCCTGCCCCGGGCTAAGGCAGGAACCCCCACCCTCCAGGCAGGGCCAGAGAGGAGAAACTCCCCTGGGCGAGGGTTCAGGAGCGAGAGATGCCGGGCCAAGGGGGGACGAGGGCAGCCTGAGAGCAGGAAGGTGGGAAGGAGGAGCACTAGACAGGAGTCCAGCTCAGCCTGGCCGGCCCCACAGGAAGTGCAAAAGCTGCTCTCACTCACTTGACCCTCAGATCCTGGTGTGGCCCCGCAGAGGGCTGGAGCAGGGAGGTCCTCTCTGACAGCCCGTCCAGGTGGGAGGCTTCCACCTAGGGATGGAGAGGCACCGTGAGTTGGGGCCAATGGGGCTTGCCTCCCACCCCCCACCTGGGCAGGTGCTGACCGGGGGGCCGTGGCCCTGGCCCAGCACAGCAGCATGGAGCTGCAGCTGGTGCAGCTGGGCCCGCAGGGCCTGCTGGTTGCCCCGCACGTCACGCAGCTCCTGCGCCAGCCGCTCCGTCTCCTCCTGGATGCGCAGCAGGTCGCGGGGTGGGGGCGCCGGCAGCCTCCCCTCGGGCGCAGGCAGCACCAGGCCGGCCCGCCGCACCTCCTCCTGCAGGAACACTGGGCAGAGAAGGACAGGGTCAGGGGGCCACTCGGGGCGGGGTACTGCCTAGGGGACCCCAAACGCCATCTCCAAACCACCATCAGCCACCAGCTAACTAATGCTCTGAGTCGGAGACCCCCGAAAAACTCTCAGGGCAAACTTGCATCCCAGAAGACCCCTCCCCTCCCTCTGGGCTCCGATGGGGGCCTGCTTTCCCTCCCCACTCCCTGGCCACTGCCCAGCCCAGGCCCCAGCTGCACAGCGGTCCCAGGTCTCCTGAGCAGGTGGGCCTAGCACTGTGGGGCCTGGGACCAATGCATATAACATGCCTGATTATTTCAGCAATAAATCAAGCTTGTTGTTGGGAACCACTGAATCAATTCTGACTCATGGCGACCCCATGTGACACGGTAGAACCGCCCCACAGGGTTTTCTAAACTGTAATCTTTACAGGAGCAGATCACTAGGTCTTTCTCCAGAGGACCCACTGGTGAGTTCAAACCCGTGATCTTTTCGTTAGCAGCCGAGTGCTTAACCACTGTGCTACCAGGGCTCCTTAAATCAAGCTAACAAACATTAAATAAAATGTGTTCTCTCCTCCTAGCCTGGAGGTGGTAGGGGAGGTGGGGGCTCTGTCTTTTGGTGTTGGGAGGGGTCCAGGACAGGGGTCCCTCTTGCCAGGGTCCAAGGAGGAGCTGCTCTTGGGGCACCAAACCTAGGTCCTGGCTGCTACCCTCCCCAGTCCTCGGCAGTGGAAAAAGCTCTGCCCCAGCCTCTTCCCTGCTTAGAAAACCGTTGTGGCTCCCAGCGCCCACAGGATGAAGTCCGGGCCCTCTCTCGGTATTCAAGGCCTTTTCCAGGCTCCCAAGGCTGTCCCGTTCCCAAGAACACTCCACAGACCCCCCAGCCGTGTCCTGGCTCTGCACAGCCAGGCCTGGACCTGCCTTCCACCTGGGAAACCAGGACCCTTTTCAGACCAAGCTCAGATAGCACCTCCTCCAGGAAGCCTGCCTGGGATGCAGGCCTGGGGCCAACTCACGGAAGGTCTTCTCCAGCTCCTCGCAACGCCGGATGTCCACCACGAAGCGTCTCTGGAAGGCGCTCACTGATGCATTAAGCTGTGGTTGCCACAGGGAGGAGTCAGTGCACCCAGGAGGGGGCCAGGGAAGTCCCACCCCAGGGCCTGGCTCTGCTCAGGTCTTAGCTGCCTCCTCCGGAAAGGGGCTAAGCACACCGTGAGTGTCCAGAGGGACAACCAGAGGAGCAACCTGACCCATGTGCCTGCGGGGGTGGCCAGGAGCCAATGGGGCCGGGCTGATTGAAAGGCCAGGGCAGGGTAGTCTCAGCCAGGGGTAGCGATGGTCTTCCTAAGAACAGAGCATCTTCGGCAGGGGGCTGCCGGATTCAAGCAAGGCTGGGGGCCATTATGGGGGTGGTGGTTATTGGTTGCCTTCATGTCAGCTCTGACTCATGGTGACCCCATGTGTGCAGAGCAGAACTGCTCTATAGGGTTTTCAAGGCTGTGACCATCTGGAAGCAGATTGCCAGGCCTATCTTCCGAGGCGCCTCTGGGTGGGTTTGAATTGCCAACCTTTTGGCTATTAGTTGAGCACTTAACCATATGCACCACCCAGGGGCTCTGGAGGGTGGCCTTTGCTGGAGAGGGCCTGCCATCTAGGTAGGACTAGATTATCGGTTGGCCTCAGTAGCGATACCCCAGGATAAGGCCCCCCCATGCCCCAGCCCAGCCCCTACTCACGTCTCTAAACTCCACGAGGCCCAGCTCGCCAAGCTGGCTCACGCAGGTGTAGGCAGCAGCCGTGGGCAGGAACAGCTGGGCCAACACCACCTCCTCGCTCCGGAACATGGTGCCCATGGTCCTGTGGGGCCGGGAAGCTGGGGTCCGTCAGGGGCTGGCCAGGTAGCCTACACACCTCAGCTCACATAATCCCGGGAAGTCCTATACCACCCCCATCTGGCAGATAGGGAGACTGAGGCCCAGGAAGGCACAATGGGGGTGCTGAGGCCAACCAGGAAGTAACCAGCGCAGCTGGGAGCAGGAAGCGGGCTGACTGACCCCACGGCCTGACCCCAGCCTAGCCTCAAGCTCTCTGTCAGCTCACTGTGCCCAGTCTCAGATGCTCTGACCCACACCCTGTGTCCCCATGGGCTCTGCTCACACTGGCCTTTGCACACCCTGGGCCTCCTCTCTGGCCGCCCTCACCCTGCTCCTACTCATCCTTGGCGCCTGCAGTGCAGTGAATTGCTTTACTATGGCCCTTCTAGCCGTGGTCTTCTAACTCCTGCAAAATGATTGGATGGGACTATGCAAACAAGGTGCTTGTGGCTCACCAACGGGACTGGACAGTTTTGCTAATGCAAATAAGGTGCATGGAACCCTTGTAGTGGACTGGTCAGTTTTGCCATTCTGCTAGGCTTAAAGAAGCCAATCCCAGAGGTTAGAGGGGGACCTCACTACCACTAAGAAAAGCCAGGAGTGGAGCACATCCTTTGGCCGTGGGGTCCCTGCACTGAGAACCCCCTAGACCCAGGGGACAGAGAGCTGTGACAGTGAGGATGGCACCAGATGGCAGAGGCGCGGGACCAGCCGTCTCTGCTCGCCAACCCGCAGTGCGAGAAGGCTGTATGCCTTTGGGCAGAGGCTTGCTGGCAGAACGGGGTGCTTTAAGGCACTTGTCTGCTGGAGCTAAAGAGCTCTGTGACGTTTGCCCAAGCAGAGCAGAGGCCAGGCCAAGGGCCAAGGGTCAAGGGCTAGGAGAGAGGCCTGCCTTTGGGCACGGCTAAGAGGCTGCCCCATCGAAGAACTGTCTCCTGAGCTGTTCCTGTTACCTCCAAGTTGATCCTGATCCTGAACTGTACCCTGTTACTTCCCTAATAAACCATAACCATGAGTATGGTCTGTGATTTCTGTGTGGCCACTGCAACGAATTATCACAGCCAGCAGAGAAGCAGAGTGCCGTGGGAGCGACGGCTTTGGTAAACAGGTTGGAGAGTGGAGGTATGTCTGACCTCCACCTCCTAGGGATCAGCTTTGGGCTGATAGTGATGTTTATTCTCCTCTCTCCCCCTGTAGTTAGAGAAAGTCTGACGCCACACCATTTTTATGGGTCATCAAGCCAGGGGCCCCCTCCAGGCCTCCCTAATTGCCCAAGCTGTCCTTGGAGCCCTCAGCTCTCCACCCCAATGAGGGTCTGTGACAACTGGAGATCTCGGGGCTGGAGGGGAGAGGGGCTGTCCCCGGGGCAGCTGGGAGCCCTCCAGTGTCTGTGTGCACTAAGGGGGTGGCAGTCGCCCCTGGTTCCCTGGGGCCGCAAGGAGGGCAGGGAGAAGTAGGGGTGCTGACGAAGGGGCCCTTCCCCGGGGAGCCGGGCTGCTGCTGCCGTTGGTGGAGTGAATGACGAAATGGTGAAAGTGAAGCTTTGAAAAGGCAGGAAGGCCTGGTAGGGCCTTGCTCAACCGCCTGCAGGGGAGGGCGGGGCGGCCTCCTCCCCGTGCCCAGTCTGCTCTGGGGCCGCTGCTTTTGGGGCCCAGGATCAGGTACTCCCCATCTCTGGACTCAGTCTCCTTAGATCTCAAATTGAAGGAGGGAGGCAGGGGGAGGTCCCCAGAGGGTGAACGTTTGGAGCCAGAGCGTCCGGCCTGCTGTCTGGGCCAGCCGGGGCCTGCCCAGCTGGTCACTTCCTCCCCTGGGCCCAGGTTACTTAACTCTAAACGGGGAACCACAGCCCTGTCCCCAGCCTGGGAGAGGAGAATGCTGGGAAGGTGGCCAGAGGCAGGGCCCTGTACGAGAAGGGTGGGCAAGAGGGGCCAGGTCCACTGCCTGAGGACACGGCTGGGGCCACAGGACAGAGTGCCAGGGACCTGGGCTCTGGGCTCTGCTCAGGCATGATTGCCCATGAATCTGGGCGAGTCTCTGGCCCTCTCTGGGACTCCACTTCCTCTTTGGGTGAGTGGGGCTGACAACTCAGAGCCGCCATGTGATCCCTTCACCCGCACTACCTGTTAACCCCTGACGGCAATCCTGCATGGGGCGGGGGGCACTGCAACCCTATTTTACAGATGAGTCAACTAAGACTTGGAAGGGTGAGGCCCGAGGTCACATGGTCAGCAGGTGCGTAAGCCAGGCAGGAGCCAGGCCCAGGGCTGCAGGTTTGGAAGCCCCAGGCACAGGAGGTGCTCAGGCGAGGGCTGTTCCTGATCTGGGAGACTTGCAGGGCTGGGCCAACAAACGGAGGGGTATGGGGAGCTGGCTTTGGGGGTCCAGGCAGCAGCCATGGCAACTCCAGCCCGGTATCCTGACTCACAGGAGCATTGGGCTGGCTCCCCCTGGTCCTGACCACTCCCCCCCAAAAGGGTGGGACAACATACAGTAGGCATGGGTGTGTAGGGGCCAGGTCATTCCACAGATCCCACCCTGGCATTTAAGGCATTTGCTGCCTCACCCCCTCCCCAGAGCTCTCCTGCTCCCTCCCAGGCGTGTTTACTGAGCAAATGAAAGTGCCTTGTCCCTGGGTGTGGCAAACGGTCTGTGCCCGACTGCTAACCTAAAGGTTGGCAGTTCGAACCCACTCAGCAGCACCGCGGAAGAAAGGCCCGGTGATCTGCTTCCATAAAGATTATAACTAAGAAAACCCTACGGAGCAGTTGTACTCTGTAACACATGGGGGCGCCATGAGTTGGAATCAACTCAACAGCAATGGGTGAAGGTGCCTCCAGCCTGGCGCCTGCAGGGTTCGGCTCTAGCCCACTCCTCTCCCTGTGCCCCTCTTCTCCTGGCCCCTCAGGGTGTGGCACTAACGCCTCCCCCTCCAGGATCCCACCCCAAATCTCTCCTCCCAGGCCCTGTCCCCTGGGTGATGAGCCGGGTTGGAGGAGAGGGTCTTCAGTGTCTGTGGAGTCAGAATGACCGGGCTCGCCTCTGGCTCTGCCACTTGCATGGGCCTCACTTTCCTCATCTGTAGAATGGGTCCCTCCTTCAGAGGAAGATGCGACAGGGAAAGCTGAGTGCCCTAGGCTGGCAGAGCTGGGCTCAGGATTTGTTCCAGCTGTTAACACCCCATCCTCCTCTTCATTGCCTCCGTGGCTCCCGCAAGGCCCGATACTCCGCGGCGGCATAAGACTGAACTGCATCCCCTGACCCAACTTGGTGAGGGCGCCAGGATCTGCTTCCTGGGGCTGGGAGGGAAGCGGGGGTGACAGGCAGAGCTGGGGGCTCTGCAGATCCCGGCCGGGGGACTCACCCCGGGGTCGGCTGCTCGCAGCACTGCTCCGCTCCACTTTGCCCCTCCGAGTGGGCCCGGCCGGACGCAGAACTGCGCTCCCTGCGGCGAAGCCCGCAAACTAATTCCTGCCCGCGCGGGCGCAGCAGGACGCGGCGGGGCGGGGCGGGGCGGGGCGGAGCCAAGATAGCCCCGCCCGATCCCCGCCCCCGCCCCGCCCACGCCGGGGCCTCCCGGGGCTTGGCGTCCGAGGCGGTCGGACGGTGACCTCGAGCGGCGCTAGGTTTCTCTCCCGAGGTAGGGCCGAGCCTTCGCAGGGAACTGGGAGCCCGTTCGGGGTCCTGAGGCGCTCCGTTCGGGGCGACAAGGCGTGGAGACGACAGCGGAGATAATTGGCTAGCGCCAGCCGCGCGCATCTCTGGGCCCGGATGGGGTCAGGAGCCCAGCTCAGGCCCGGTGCCCAGCTCAGGCCCAGCTTCCGGCTAGGAGAACAGCACCCACCACGCACCTCGGGCTCATGAGCCGGGGGTCCACTAGGGTGTAGAGCCCCCGTGTAACCCCCAGACCCGCGCTAACCCCCAACACTCTCGGGCTAATGGAGCTGGGGACCAGCACCCGTGTCTCCCCAGCACCCTCCCGCACCTCTAAGACCCCCTCTCCCTTGGGGGAGGTGACAGGTACATACCCTTGTGCTTACAGGTTCCTGCTCTGACCACCTGGGGTAGGGAGCCGGCAAGGACCCCGGGGGCCCGGCCTCAGGCCCAGCACTCGGTGGCCTTGGGCGGGTGGTGGCCCCTCTGTGCCGCCTTCTCAGTGGCACTTAGCAATCGCTCTACCTGCAGCGGGGGCGGGGAGGGGGTGTCAGCGCATGTGGTTCACCAGGTCCCTGCACCGGAACTGAGGGGCTCAGGAAGGTCCAGCCGCTTGCACTTTAGACAGGCCTGGCCTGTACCCACTGGGGAACTGAGGGGAGAGGGGGCCCCTCAGCTCCAGTGATCCATGAACCCACACTGCCAGCAAAGACCTGGGGGGGATGGGAGGCGGGAGGGGTTGGGCAGCTGGAGCCCCAGAGCTGAGGCTGGGAACTGAGTCACAGCCAAGGGACACGTGCTCCGACATGATGGGGCTGATGGGGGGTGACACATCTGGGGACGGATTACCTAATAAGCAAGGCAAAGATGTGGTGACACCCAAGGAAATGGTGCGCTACAGATTAGTGAGTAGACACAAGTAAGCCCTTCTGTACCTTGCTGACTGGGTAATCGGCTCCTGGACCACACTAGCCCTGGGGGGACCCTCAGTTCAGTACTTCCCGGGACAGGCGGAAGTCGGAATTCTATTGTGGTTACAACATGGTGTTACAGCTCACTCTGACCAACCTGGGAAAGCGCTTCGGACACAGTGGGAAGGGACTCGGGTTAGGAGCAGCACGCCGTCTAACCCACTTTTTTGTTGAGGTGAAGTTCACACGCTATACCCGTTTGAGAGTGACCGTTCTGGTGACATTTAGTGCCTGCTCAGTGTTGCACAACCACCATCTCTATCCAGTTCCATAACGGTGTCATCACCCCAGAAATGAAACCCCGCGCCCACTAAGCAGTGACTCCTCATTCTCCCCCCTCCCCAGCCCCTGGCGACCACCAGTCCGCGTTCTGTCTCGCTGGGTTTACCTCTTCCGGATTGTTCACGTGGAATCATGGATCACTTTTTGTGACTGACTTCTTTCCGTGTCATGTTTTTAAGGCTTCCCCACGTCGTACTATGTGGCGGTACTTCATTCCTTTCTGTAGTTGAATAATATTCCCTCGTATGGACGTACCACGTTGTGTTTATCCGTTTGCTGATGGATGCTTGGGCTGTTTCCACCTTCGGCTAATGCGAAGGCTGTGGTGAACGCTGGGGTACAAGTTATCTGTTTGAAGCTCTATTTTCAATTCTTGTGGGTATATACCTAAAAGTAGAATTGCTAGGTCATACGGCAATTCTATGTTTAACTTTTTGAGAAACTACCCAACTGTTTGACCCATTTTTTATAAAAAATATTCTACTTATCTGTGTGCAGACGTAGGCTCTATGCCAATTCTTTAATGATGGTTGTCCGGGAAAAGTTAGAGGTGATTTAGGATTTTTACGTCCCCTTCGTCTTGGGAAAAGGTCCACGCCCATCATGTCCCCCATGGAAGGCTCTCATCTCTTGCACCCCTGGGACCAGCAGTGGGATGGACACTTGGACACTTCTGGGCTTCAGTCCTCCCTGTGATTCCTGCTCACTCTGCTGTGCCCCCTCCTGTGGGCTGTAGGCCCCCAAGCCTCGGCCAGGGGTGGAGCTCAAGGAAACCTGGGCCACTTCTGCCTCAGGGAGAGGTGAGCCCCGGCTGGGAGGCAGCCCAGGCATCAGTGGGTACCCGCGAAAGCCTGGGCTTCCTGCTGCGGGCCTTCTCAGAGCCTTGCCTGTGCTAACGTGTGGCGTGTGCCCGAGGGAAGACGGCACTTGGGGCGTTTCTCACTCACTGGTCCACAGGACACTCTCTCTCCTTCTTTCTAAGGAGCGTCTTGGGAGAGTAGTGTTTTGCAAAAAGCACTTTTGGGAAGGACGGAGAAGGGGACTGTGGGGTATCTCAGACTGAGTTAGTTTTGATCTATGCTGTGTGATCCTGGCCAAGTCACTTCACCTGAGCCAGTTTGCTGCTGCTGAGGTTGAAGCGCACCAAGTTCAAGGGGCTACTTTTGGGTTTTACCTCGTATCCCTCAGCACTCGGCTTGTGTGTGGCCCGAGGGAACCAGGAGTTTCTGGCTAGAATTGCAGAGAGGGAAGTCCTGGTCTGGGGAACTTGGGGAGGAAAGGGATGTGGCTGGAGGCGAGGCCAGCTCAGGGGCAGCAGGCCCTGTGTCACCCCCTCATGACTGTCACCCCTGGAGCAGGCGTGCCCCTGCCCCCACAGAGGACAGCCGGGCCCTTCTGAGGTTCCGCCCCTCTATGTACTTGGGAGGCGCCAGTCCTAAGGGTCTTATCTGTGGGTGGCCCTCGGTGAGGGCAGGCCCGGGGTGACTTCTGGCATTGCCGAGCCTTGGGGAAGATGCCCAGGAAGACGTGTGGGCAGCAGGGCTGCTCTGGGCTGTGGCCCAGCCAAGGGGAGGGCCTGGTGGGTCCCTCTGAGTCACACAGGAAGCCTGGGCCACCTCTGCTGGACTTGCCGATGGACGGGACCAGCAGGGCCCTCTGAGACACTGGGGGGCAGTGGAGCCGTCCCTGGCCCAGCTGGAGGACTCCACATGGCCTCCATCGGGCAGGAGAGGGCCCCCTGGACAGAGGATTCACGACAGGAGGCGGTGGGGGGATTAGAGCACTTTTATTTGGGCAGCGGGGCTGCGGGCAGCGGGGCGCATCACCGGTAGAGGTAGTCGGCCTGGATGTTGGCGGCAATCTCAGCCTCCCACTTGTCCCCGTTGTTGAGCAACTTCTCCTTGTTGTACAACAGCTCCTCGTGTGTCTCCGTGGAGAACTCAAAGTTGGGGCCCTGTCAGGAGGGACAGCCACGGCCGCGTCAGGCCCTGCCGAGGAGCCTCGCCCCGCCTCCCTCCCAGGACCGCCCTCACCTCCACGATAGCGTCCACAGGGCAGGCCTCCTGGCAGAAGCCGCAGTAGATGCACTTGGTCATGTCAATGTCGTAGCGGGTGGTCCGGCGGCTGCCATCCGCCCGCGGCTCCGCCTCAATGGTGATGGCCTGGGAGGTAGCGGCCACCGGGCACTGCCACACTGCCTGGCCACTGTGCCGGCCCCAGGACACGGGGTTCTGCCCCTCATGGCCGACGGCCCACCCTCTCTGGGCTACTCAGCTCCAGGCCCGTGGCCACCTTGCTTGTAACCATCCTGGGCCTGTGCCCTCCAGCTGGGCTCTCCAGGGCTGAGCCTTCTCTCACTCACTCTCAGCCTGATGCCACCTCCTTAGACAGCTTGCCTGACTCCTCTCGAGAGGCCAGCACCTCGTCCATTGTGACACCTCCTCCGGTTTCCTTCTGCACCCCGCCCTGTCTGGCCTTTCTGTTTGTTAACTGCCAGTATCTCCTGCCCCAGAACGTCACATCCCACGAGGGGAGGCTGTCACCTCCATGTTCCCGGCAGTACCGCGGCCCTGAAGGGGGCTCGCCCCGTAATAAGCGCTCAGTGACTACTGGGTGAATGCTGAACAACCCTCCAAGCTGACGTGGGTCCAATGATCCCCTTTGGGTGGAGGAGGAAACTGAGGCACACAGAGGTTGAGGGGCTTCCCAAAGCCACACAGCAAGTGAGGGGCAAAGCACCACAGGAAGAAAGGTCCTTAACTCCCTGTTCCTGGGTGCAGCCTTACGCCAGCTGGGTCTGGGGGAAGGACTGGCCAGGGGCCTCCCACCATGGGGAGGACCCTCAAAGGGGCTGGGCAATGGCCCTCACACTCCCCAGGGGCTGGAAGGGCCCAGGTCAGACAGGCCTCCACCACCTCCATGCTCAGATGCTGTCCATGGCTCCCAGGCCGGCTGCCACGTCCCTGACCATCAAGGGCAGGGCCTGCACAGGCTGGGAGCCTCACCCTGACTCACTAACCCTCAAGCACCCTGGCCATACGGACTCATTGCTCCAGCTACAGATGGGGAAGTATCTGAGAGGGGGACTTTCCTGGGTACACACGACAGGTCACAGTTGGCGCCCTGGCTGTGCCTCCTCGGCAGTGGGGCCGGGTGGTGGTCAGTGTGGGGCCGGGAGCTCACCTGGGCAGGGCAGACAGCCTCGCAGAGCTTGCAGGCAATGCAGCGTTCCTCCCCTGAGGGGTACCGGCGCAGGGCATGCTCCCCGCGGAAGCGTGGGCTCAGCGGACCCTTCTCAAATGGGTAGTTGATGGTGGCGGGCTCCCGGAACAGGTAGCTCAGGGTCATGCCCAGGCCTGTGGGCAGCACGGGCATGGTGGGCAGGGGCACCCTCCTCCGGAACAGCCCACTGCCCATGCCCAGCCTGGCCCTCCCCGCCCCGCCAGGGCCCACCTCGGACGAGCTCTGTCCACAGCAGGGTCTGAGCTGCCTGGTCAGTCACCGACTTCATGTCCATCTTGGGCTCCTGGAGGTTCACGTACTCTGCAGGGTAGAAGGGTGGAGAGGCCGTGGCAGGGACCTCATGCACCCTGTGCGCCCCTCCCAGGGAAGCCAGCTCAGAGAAGGGGCCTGCCTGGGACCATCAGGCACTTGCTCATTCTCCAGCCCTTCCCCAGCCTCAGCAAAAGCTGGCTGGAGTGGGCCCTGGCAGCCCTCGCCGGCGTCTCTCTGGCCTGGGGTGGCTGTCTGAGCCCAGGCGCCCCTCAAGCAGGGCTTTGAAGGAGGAGTCAAGGGTGCTGGGGTACTGGTGAGGAGGCACGGACACCCACGGCCCGCGCCCTGCCAACTCCCTCCCCACCACATCCAGGGAGCTCTGAGATCCAACACAGTAGCTGCAGGGAAGGCCCTGCCCCCTGCAATGGCGGACCATGTCCGGCACGAATCCATCTCCATCATCAACCGCGTTTTACAGAGAGGAAACTGAGGCTCGGAGAGAGGGAACCCAGGTCTCCCCTGCCTCTGGCAGGAGCAGCTGTGCTCAGGAAAGCCCGTGGCTCGAGGCCGCCCAGTACTCACTGTACGTGGCCGCCAGGGAGGTGCTGTGGACGCTTCGGCCACTGAAATGGCCTGCAAGGAGAGGGGTTACACTTTGCAGCTGTGACCCCGTGCTGGAAGCCTGGGCTCCCTCACCCCAGAAAAGGCCCCTGCGGTCCTACCTGCATGTGAGGCCTGGGCCAGGGCCCGCAGCACAGTCGGCGTGGCCAGGCAGCGCATCTGCGGGCATGAAAGGGGGGAGGAATGGAGAACAAGCTCAAACTCCTAGAGACGCTCGGCCTTCCTGGGCCCGCAAAGACTAGAGGAACCCCCGAGACTATCACCCTGAGATACCCTTTGAACGCGAAACCGAAGCTACTCCTGGAGGGAACCTTTCATCCGAATAATAGGCTGGCCTAAAAAATAAACACCATCACCCATGAGTACGGTGCTTCCTTCAATAATCAACTACATGAGACCAAATGGGCAACATTTACCCAAAAAAGCAAGATTAGAAGGTAAGGGGGGTGGGGCAGGGAAGCTAGATCAACGGAAACAAAAGAAACAGAATGGAAATAATGAAAATGCTGACACATTGTGGAAAACATAACCAACGTCTCGGAACAAGCTGTATAAAAATTGTTAAATGGGAACCTAATTTCCTGTGTCAACTTTCACCTAAAACACAACATTATTTAAAAAATATATTAAACTTTGTCCTCAGAGGTTGTCAGGGCCTGGGGCCACTTCCTACAATAAAAACAGAATAATCACTGAACCAAACCCGTTGCTGTCGAGTCAATTCCGACTCACAGCGACCCTACAGGACAAAGTACAGCTGCCCCATAGGGTTTCCAAGGAGCAGCTGGTGGATTCAAACTTCTGACTTTTCGATTGGCAGCCAAGCTCTTAACCACTGCACCATCAGGGATCCCCAAACAGAATAGATGCAAAAAAAAAAAAAAAAAAAAAGGTGAAGGAGACGGGGGTGGGTCTCAGAACTGGCCCAGTGCATCTGCATCATTGCCCGCTGTCATCCCCCTACTCCTGCCAGGAGCACAAACAGCCTCCCTGTTCCCAGACGTACACCTCCCACCTGGCCCAGGTCAGCTGCGCTAGGATTTGGGGAGTACCGTGGCCCAAGTTCTGTTTCACTTCCTAAGAAATCGTCTAAATCCTTCCCCTGACCAGCATTCCTGGCTTCCACCTCTCCCCTCCCCCACTGATTCCTCTCAAATCTGACCGAAATAAAATTTATTGAGCGCTTATTACTGACAACTAACTTGATGGCGGGCCTTAGGCTAGGGGTTTCCCATTACAAGGTCCTTATAAGGACCCTAGGGGGAAGGCAGTATTATCAAGCCTGTTTTACAGACGAGAAACTGCAGCTCAGTCACACTAAGTGACGTGTTCAAAGTCACCCGCTAGGTGTGGGTGGGGCTGTACGTGACCCACCCACACCCACCCTCCCCTGCTGGAACCCTTTAAAGGCTCAAATAACCCTCAGGATCATACTCCTGTCCCCATATTCAAGCCCCTTCTAGGCCTGTTGCCAGACCCGACGTGTGACCTTGGGCAGGTGGCATCACCTGGGCTCAGCTTTCTTCCCCGTGAAATGCGGGGTCATAGGAAGTACCAGGGGTTCATACAAGCTGGGGATTAGCACTCAGCTCCCGTGACCTGTGACCTCTAGCGGACCCGCTGCTTTTGACCTTTGACTCCAGCCCCCGGCACCCAACCCGGCACCTTTCCCGAGACTTCTGACCCCACGGTCGCAGGAGCCGCCAGGTCGGGGTAGCGCATGCGCCCCGAGGTGCCGGCCTCCCGGTCCGCCCGCTACACGCTGAAGGGCATAGAGGCCGCGCGTCCTGAGCGGGCCGAGGTGAAGCCCGGACTCAGAACCTGCAGGACCAATGGGGACGCCAGACTCGCCTCAGCGCCGCGTGCCCAGGCCCAGCCTAACGGCTGAGCCCCAAACACCTACCCTGAAACGCTGCCTCTCCTTCGCGTGCAGACCAGCCCTGTCGGCGGAGAGGCGGAGCCTACATTCTGGGATGCTGCCATTGGGCCGGCTGGCTTCGCCTTTTCCGCGTTGACATTCCATGGTGTGACCTGATTGGCCAGTGCCTCAGCCGAAAGAGGCGGAATTCGGAAATATCTTTTCTCTGATTGGTTAGAAGAGAGCAGGCCCTTGAAGTCCAGGAGAGCGCGGCCATGCTGGTTTGGAGAGGCCAATAAGTGAGGATTCGCCAGCTGCGTGAGACGGGACATCCGGGGCGTGGTTGGGAGGTGGGTTCGGGTTTAGGAGGTGGCTGGAGCGAGAGCGTGCACCGCCTGAAAAATTTCTTCTGTTGCTCTACCCTCCCGGACTCCGAGCACACGATCCAGGCGGGGCAGACGCCGTGGGCCAGCGGTGGTGACCCGATCGGTCTCAGCGGGGAGTGTATGATAATGCCGGCGACGATGAGGCTCGAGGCGCGCGGGGACGGTATGCATTACCCCTGCGGGCTCTCTGGCAATCACTTCACACATTTAATCCTCACAACGACCCGGTGTGGAGGAACTGCTACTTCCACTTTACAGATGAGGAAGCTGAGGCACTGAGAGGTTTAATGACCCCCCAAGGCGTGTGGACCTGGGTCTGTATGACTCGTGAGCCTGCCACGAAATCTGTATTTCTCCCGCTGGATTGTGTGGCAGAGGGACCCACGGCGGCCGCGTTACCGAGGAGCCCCCGAGGCAGTCTGTGTGTGGGAAGGCTGAGGGGTGTCAGGAAAGGCTTCCTGGAGGTGATACCCAAGCTGACTGTGCTTAGGAGTTGCGCAGGCCAAGAAGGGCAGAGAGGGCGTTCCAAGCTTAGGTGGGGAGATCCTAGGAGAAAGAGCGCGTTAGGACAAGGACAGGCTGGAGTGCGGGGGGTGGGGGTGGTGGCTTGGTGACCCGCATGGCTGGAGAGGTGTCAGAGCCTCGTAAGGGCCATTAAGGATCCAGGACTTGATTTCATGGGCCACGGGAGCCACAGAAGGGTTTGGGGCTGAGGAGCGCCATGGTCCAGTGGTCTGAGTGAGCTTTGGGTCATCAGCTGCCCTGAGGAGGGCTGGGCCTGGGGAGGAGGTGACAAGAAGATCCTGGGCTGCTGGCCTGCACCGGGGCCCTGGTCCTGGGCATGGTGATTAGTGTGAGAGTTGGGAAATCCTGCGGTGTTACTGAATAACCAGGATGCCGGAGGGGAGGAGGGAGTGTCGAGCAAGAGCCTGGGATTTTGTCTTGGATGTGGGTGGCTGGGGGACCATTCCGTGGCTTTGGGGCCCCAGGAGGGTGAGCAGGACAGGGAAGAAGATGAGACCAGTGTGGGCCGCAGTGACAGTAAGGTGCCCAGGCCCAGAGCCTGCCACATGGGGAAGGGGAGCAAGAGAGGAAAACGTTCGTTGCTCCCAAGAGGCTGGCTGAAGGGAGGCTGACTTAACCTTGTTAGGTGACCTGGCTGGAGAAAAGAGGGAGCAGCCTTACCCGCCCAAACAAGGAAAGACAGGACGCCTGGATCTCCAGGCAGCAGCTCGTCTTTATTAAGCCTTAAGCTGCCCCCAAATTTAATCCTCCTAACAATCTCAGGTGGTAATGATTGTTAATCACGTCCACCGTACAGATAGGGAAACCGAGGCTCAGAGACGACAGCCGCAGTGGTTCCATGGTGCAGCCTGGACCAGGTCCCAGGGCCCTTCTGCTGAACCCGGACCCCGGGAAAGCAAGTGTCTGTCTGCTTTCTTCTGCCAGGACCCGGTGGCCAGCGTGGGGGGAGGGTGACGGGTTACCGAGTTGGAGGGCAGCTGGGTAGGAGGCAGCCCTGCCCTTGGCAGAGTACATCCTCCTCCTGGCCCCTGGACTCTAGGCCCGTCTCCACCAGCCACGGGACCCAGACGTGCACCTGGGCACCCTCGCCGAGGCAGCTCAGAGCAGGGTGCAGCTGCAGCTGCGGGTCTCCATGGCCGCCAGCAGCAACCTCTGGTTGCGTGGCGAGTAGGGCGGGTAGCGGATGGCATAGATCTTCTCCATCCCGGGGGCGTGCAGCAGGCAGGCGCGGTGGTGGGAGAAGGTGTCGAAGGAGAACTTGCCGTGGTACCTGCCCATCCCGCTGGCACCTGCCCGGGGCACGGGACGTGGTGTCAGGCCCTCAGTGGGCTCTGCCAGTCACCCACGGCATGCCCCAGGCGGGTGACTCCACCCCTCCCACGTCGGTTTCCCCTCTGTGCACAGGGCGTCCTGAGATGCCAAGGGCCCCAGGTGCTGGGCAGGACTGGCAGATGGGCCCAGGGCTCAGGCTCAGGGCCAGTCTGCCCGGATTGAATCCCACCTCTGCCTCACACTAGCCGTATCACCTGGGGCAAGCGACTTTGCCTCTGTGTGCCTCAGTTTCCTCCTCTGTGACCTGGGGTGACAGTGGCACCCACTTCCTAGGGGTGTGGTGAGGACTGAGCAGGGCCAGACCTGTGCACACAGCAGGCGCTGTGTTGTGAGCGCTCCTCAGTGCCTGCGTGGGGCTGGGGGTCAAGGGGAGGGAGGGCTTCCCAGAGCCAGTGAGGCTGGGGGATGAGGATTAGCCGGGTGAAGAAGTAGAGGCTAGAGGGACCCAGGCGTGCGTGGTAGGCACTGGAGCTACTTCTGTGTGATGGGGTAGCAGGTGGGTGGGTAGGGTGGGAGAGGAACCCAGGCTGGCCTCAGGAAGCTGAGTCTGGGCCTTAGACCTGCCCCTGAGGGGCCTGGGAGCCAGGGCAGGTTTCCTGAGGGGAGAAGCAGGATCGGATTTGCCCCCAGGCAGACCCCCTGGCCTGAGGAGGAGGGGGTGGGATGGGCAGGGCTGGGACTGGACCCCAGTGAGGCTAGGGTGGGCAGTGGGGCTCCCGGGGCCCTTTCCCCCCGGCAGTTGGGGCAGCAGGGGCAGCTGCAGTGCCCAGCCCAGCCCTGTGCCTGCTGTGGGCCCCCGTGGCACTGGCCGCTCTCCAGGGAGGGTCCAGGCCACACGGGGCGGCCTGCGGGCCCTGCTGGTGGTTTCCTCAGGTGCTGAGTGTGGCCAGGTGGCCAGGACCATTTTACTGAGGAGGAGGTTAGCTCAGAGGAGATTTGACAGCCCAGACCACACAGCCCATCGGGCTGTTGCTGGGAGGAGCCCGGGGTTACCTTTGCAGCTGTGTCAGGGGCTGCCCTGGGGGAGAGGTCCCCACTCAGCGGCCTCCCTCAGGGCGGGGGCCGCAGCTTCGGCTTCAGTGGTCTGAGACCCAGGGTTGCCTGAGGAAGGGGGCGGATGGGCTGCCAACGGCCCCACAGTGGGAAATCGACAAGTACCAGCTCAGTGTGGGCTGTGTGGTCACACTCGTAAGAAAACAACTATAAAACCTAAATTGTGTTTCTGCGCGTCCGTCTAGGTACGTAACTGCACAGAGGGCTCTGGAAGGTTCTGCTCCAGACTTGGGGAGAGAAGCAGGAGGGGCCTCGTCACTCGCTGTTCCTCGACCCTGAGGTAGCCTGTGTCTTCAAGCAATGCTACTGCAGATAAAGGGTCGATGGTACCAGGAAGGGCAGTGGCTGTGCGGCACCTACCCACTCCTCCGAAGGGCAGGGTGGTGAGCGTCACGTGCATGAAGCCGTCGTTCCCGCAGAAGCCCCCGCTGCTGGTGCCCGCCAGCACCCGCTTGATCACCTGGGGGAGAAGAAGCAGTGAGGCCTGTGAGGTTGCCTCGTGGCCCCCGATGAGGTTGCTGAGGCCATGCTGACACCCTAGGCCCGGGGCCTGCTCCAGGGTGAACCTAGTTACACTGATCTTGTCTCAAAGGAATTGAGGCCCCCCACCACCACCCTCAGTGGAGTGGGTGTGCTTACATAGCAGCCTGTCCCCGAGCCCTGCACTTGGACATGTTCCCTGAGCATCTGCCCGTGTGGGGTCCAACTCCTGCCCCGAGGGCCGTGGGAGCCCAGCAGTCGCCTTGGGACTCTGGAGCAGTGACAGCCGTGTGGTGCCAGGTCGTCAGGGAGGGGCCCCATGGGAGGGACAAGTTTGTCGAGTCTCCAGGGAGGGGCAGGATTCATTCAGGCAAAGAGGAGAGGAGAGAGGAGAGGGTATCCCAGGCACAGCCAGTGACGTGTGCAGAGGCAGGGGTGAGCAGAGGAGGCCACACGTGGGGGTCTGGAGAAGCATCAGGACCAAGCTTGAGAGCAGCTGGGGCCTTGTGTGATGTTCTGCCAGCAGTGGGGACCCCCCAGCACAATGTTCGGGCGCGATGATGTGGTCAGATTTGTGTTTTAGGAACACAGACTTGGCCCTTGCTTGACTGAACGGAGGACCTTCCTCTTCAATCCACAGGTTGATCCGGAGGATGAAGGGAAAAAAAGATCAGTAGATGATAAATGGGGCCCCTGGGCGGTGCCAACACTTAACACACTTAGCTGCTAATCAGAAGGTTGGAAGGCACCTCGGAAGAAAGGCCTGGTGATCTGCTTCTGAAAAATAAGCCATTGAAAACCCCGCGGAGCACATTGCTACTCTGATACACATGGGGTGGCCATGAGTCGGAATCGACTCAGTGGCGACTGGTTTAGACAATAAATACACAAACTCCACTGGGTTTAGTACAATTGGTGTGAACCTCAGAGAGTGGTGGGACCAGAGCCTTTCTAACGGGGGCAGAGCAGAAGCCCACCCATGGTTTCGAACCCCACTGAACCACAGGTAGACCCACAGGAACAACAACTGCAAAAGATGGATTAGAAAACATCGGAGCGCTTCACACCTAGCAAGGATGGGAAACACTGAGACTCGTGTTTTAGGCGCACGCGCACGCCCGTGTGTGTGTGTGTGTGTGTGTGTGTGTGTGTGTGTGTGTGTACTGGGACCAGGGCTGACAGTCAGAAAAATTTAAAGGCCAGTGTGCCAGATGATCCTGCTTCCAAAAAAACCTGTGTAGAGTTTTCTAAAATTAAAACTATCCAGACCAACCTGGGCTCCTCGGAGAAATGGCTGATTCTAGGACCGGGGCAGGGCAAATATTACACAAGATAAGCCTGCAGGACCTTGTAGAGTCAGAAAGGAACGAAGTGGCCAGAAAACAGAAGGACAGGTGTGTCAAAGGGACGCAGGAACTGACCTCGAAGAGCTCCCAGTGGCCAGAGCTGGAACAATTTCAGCAAAAAATAACGTAGTATTGGATTGTTGTCATTAGGTGCCCTTGAGTTGGTTCTGACTCATAGGGACCCCCGTGCACAACAGAACAAAACACTGTCTGGCCCTGCGCCATCCTCACAATTGTTGTGCTGGAGCCCATTGGTGCAGTTACTGTGTCAATCCATTTCGTTGAGGGTCTTCCTCTTTTTCGATGACCTTCTACTTTACCAAGCAGGATGTCCTTCTCCAGGGACTGGTCCCTCCTGATAACATGTCCGAAGTATGTGAGACGTAGTCTTGCCAACCTTGCTTCTAAGGAGCACTCTGGCTGTACTTCTTCCAAAACAGATTTGTTCATTCTTCTGGCAGTCCATGGTATATTCAATATTCTTCGCCAGCACCATTATTCAAAGGCATCAATTCTTGGGTCTTCCTTATTCATTGTCCAGCTTTCACATGCATATGAGGCGATTGAAAACACCATGTCTTGGGTTAGGTGCACCTTAGTCCTTAAAGTGACATTTTTGCTTTTTAACACTTTAGAGAGGTCTTTTGCAGCAGATCTGCCCAATGCAATACGTTGTTTGATTTCTTGACTGCTGCATCCATGGGTGTTGATTGTGGATCCAAGTAAAGTGAAATCCTTGACAACTTCAATCTTTTCTCCATTTATCGTGATGTTGCTTATTGGTCCAGTTGTGAGGATTTTTGTTTTCTTTATGTGGAGGTATAATCCATACTGAAGGCTGTGGTCTTTGATCTTCATCAGGAAGTGCTTCAAGTCCTCTTTGCTTTCAGCAAGCAAGGTTGTGTCATCAGCATAACACAGGTTGTTAATGAGTTTTCCTCCCATCCTGATGCCCCATTATTCTTCATATAGTCCAGCTTCTCGGATTATTTGCTCAGCACTCAGATTGAATAGGTATGGTGAAAGGATACAACCCTGACACACACCTTTCCTGACTTTAAACCATGCAGTATCCCCTCCCCTTGTTCTGTTCAAACGACTGCCTTTTGATCTATGTACAGGTTCCTCATGAGCACAATTAGGTGTTCTGGAATTCCCATTCTTTGCAATGTTATCCATAATTTGGTATGATCCACACAGTCGAATGTCTTTGCATAATCAATAAAACATAGATAAACTTCTTTCTGGTATTCTCTGCTTCCAGCCAGGACCCATCAGATATCAGCAATGATTTCCTTGTTTCCACGTCCTCTTCTGAATCTGGCTTGAATTTCTGGCGGTTCCCTGTTGATGTACTGCTGCAGCCATTTTTGAATAACCTTCAGCAAAATTTTACTTGTGTGTGATATTAATGATATTGTTTGATAATTTCTGCATTCGGTTGGAATTAGAACCCATAAAATAAACATACAGGAATCCACACTGATATGAATGAATGATTGCAAAGACAAAGCTTTCTTACAGAATTCCAAATAATAGCTGCAGATGTTCTGCCCTCCAGGAGGTGGCGCTTAATTAAAACCCCTCCCATTGAGGGTGGCCTCGACTTACCCACTTTGCAATGGGAACACGTGCAAACACCACTTTAACCACATGTCGAAGGTGAACATCGCCCTTGGTGTGTGGATGTCATGTACCCTGATGTGACGTTAAGAGGCGGGCCTTTCACCTCTGTGGTATTGTTTCCAAAGACCCATTTTCCCTATTTAGTCATGAGGAAAACAACAGACAATCGGAGATGGGAGACTCCCTACAGGAGACCTGGCCAGTCCTCCAGACTGTCAAGGTCATGAAGAACAAGGGAAGGCGGAGAAACTGTCCCAGATCTGAGGAGACTGGGGGAGACGTGACGGCTAAACGGAATGGGCACTCTGGATTGGATACTGGAACAGAACGGGGACGTTAATGGAAAAACAAGCAGAATCCCAACGAAGTGGGAGTTTAGTAAATGGCCATGTGCCAGCGTCAGTTTCTTAGTTTTGGCAAATGCGCTAAGGTTATGTTCCGTTGTCATTGCCAGTGAGTCAATTCTGACTCATAGCGACCCTATAGGACAGAACAGAACCGCCCCATAGGGTTTCCAGGGCTGTAATCTCTACAGAAGCAGACTGCTACATCTTTCTTCCTTGGAACGGCTGGTGGGTTTGAACTGCTGACCTTTCGGTTAGCAGCTGAGCGCTTAACCACTGCTGCCACCAGGGCTCCCTCTAAGGTTATGTAGGACCTTTAAATGGGGAGGCTGGGTGAGTGGTACATGGCAGCTCTTTGCACTATCTTTGTGAATTTTTTGTAAATCTAAAATTATTCCAAAATAAAAAGTTTATTTAAAAAACATCGTCCAGCAAATATTCACTCGGCCGCTAACCAAAAGACTGGCTATTCGAACCCACCCAGTGGCTCGCTCTACTCTGTCAGACGGGGTTGCTATGAGTCGGAATCAACTCTACGGTACCCAGCTACACCAGCAACCACCGCAGGATGAACTCCTAGAACAGGCAAGTGTACAGAGATCCGAGCTGATTAGTGGTTACCGGGGGTGGGTGGGAGGAAGGGGAAAGGAAGACACACGCTTAGGGGACACTGAGCTTCTGCTGAGGGTGGTGGAAAAATTTGAGAATGGTAAATGGTGATGGCTGAACATGATGTCAGTGAACTGCACACGGGAAGGTTGTAGAAATGGCACATGTTTTGTTACCTATATATTTACCACAATAACAGTAAAAAGGAGTTAAAAAATCATCATCCAGGTGGTTGCCAGAGGCTGTGGGGTAGGGAGAATATTCTGGAACTAGATAGCAATGAGGACTTGAAGCACTTATTGATGAAGATCAAAGACCGCAGCCTTCAGTATGGTTTATACCTCAACATAAAGAAAACAAAAATCCTCACAACTGGACCGATAAGCACCATCATGATAAATGGAGAAAAGATTGAAGTTGTCAAGGATTTCATTTTACTTGGATCCACAATCAACACTCACGGAAGCAGCAGTCAAGAAATCAAACGACGCATTGCATTGGGCAAATCTGCTGCAAAAGACCTCTCCAAAGTGTTAAAAAGCAAAAATGTCACTTTAAGGACTAAGATGCACCTGACCTAAGCCATGGTGTTTTCAATTGCCTCCTATGCATGCAAAAGCTGGGCGACAGAAGAAGAATTGACGCCTTTGAGTTATGGTGTTGATGGAGAATATTGGATATGCCATGGACTGCCAGAAGAATGAACGAATCTGTCTTGGAAGAAGTACAGCCAGAGTGCTCCTTAGAAGCAAGGATGGCGAGACTTTGTCTCACATACTTCGGACATGTTATCGGGAGGGACCAGTCCCTGAGAAGGACGTCATGCTTGGTAAAGTAGAAAGTCATCGAAAGAGAGGAAGACCCTCAACGAGATGGATTGACACAGTGGCCGCAACAATGGGCTCAAGCATAACAAGGATTGTGAGGATGGCGCAGGACCGGGCAGCGTTTAACTTTCTGTTGTACGTGGCGTCGCTAAGAATCGGAACTGACTCGGTGGCACCTAACAACAACAGACAGATGCCACCAAACTGTTCTCTTTAAAATGATTGGTTTTATGCGAATTTCATCTCAATAAAACAAACAAAAAAAGAGCTGGAAGAGGAGACAGGAGGATCGTTGGTGCCTCTAGGTGCACCCTGGGTTCCCAGCCTGCCGCCCACCCATGGGGGCTGGAGCAGGGTGGATGCCAGAGGGGCGGAGACAGATGGGGGCCGAGCTCACTCGCCTGGCTGTCTGGTCGTGCACCCCTGTTGTGGTCGGTCAGCAGCACACAGTGTGGGCCTTCCCTGAACCAGGCACCGAGGAGGGGACGCTGTGGCCACCAGGGAGGTGTGTGAGGAAGAGGGGCCAGGGCTGGCCTCAAGGGGACCCTGGACCTGGAGAAGCTGCCACACCAAAGGCCCGAGGGAGCCTGGCCTAGACTTTCGGGGGGCTCGGGTGTTGGGCCGGCTGTTCCTGGGGGAGGGGCAGGGACAGAGCCAAGAGGGCCACCATCCCTGAATGCCTATGGCTGCCTCTAAGGGGCCAAATCTCACTGTCCTCCTGCCGGGCCTCTTGGTGCACTCTGGCCCCAGCGCCACCTCTGCTGGCACCACCCCCGGCCGCCCAGCCCTGCCCTGCCCCCCAGGAGCCACACCTGGCTGTTGTTGGAGAAGGCGTACAGCGTCAGGGGCTTCTCGCGCCGGGTGATGAAGTCCACGGCCTCGTCCAGGCCCCTCACGTTCACGATGGGCAGGATGGGCCCGAAGATCTCCTCCTGCATCACCGGCTCCGTCTCCTGCACGTCCACCAGCACCGTGGGGGCTGCGGCACAGGGCGCGCTCAGCGCAGGCCGGAGACCCCACCCACTGCGGTACCCAGGAGGCCGAGGGTCACAGGTCCCAGGGCTCCAGGCCGAGGGGTGCTCCAGGGAGGAGTGGTGACTGGGAGGGCTCCCAGGCCAGCCCCAGCCGGGGTCGTCCAGTCCTGGGGAGACGGACTCTTGGTGACAGTGTCAGTGTTGGCAGCACCGGGGGGGAGGGGGGAGGGGGCCGCAAAGCCAGGGTGCCTAGGGCTGGGTCGGCCCTGCCACCCAGAGCAGCAGGTGCTAAGGGCGGTGTCAGGTCAGGACTGGGGGGATGGGCACACTGGCATTGGGGAATCTCAGTGCTGAGGCCGAGGGAGCCCCAGGCCTGACATTTCTGGGTGACGCGTGGCCGGCTTGGAGCCCTCTGGTGCAGAAGGGCCTCGGCGTCCAGAGCCTGTGCCCCCGTGTCCCTCTGTGTCCTCCAGCACCAGCCCTTGTCCCCTCCTGTGCCCCCCTTTGACTCCTGAGCCACCCTGTGACCTTGTGCCCTCCTTGCTCCCCCTGCAACCCTGTCTCCCCCTGTGCCCCCTGCACCACCCTGTACCCCCTGCACCACCCTGCATTCCCTTTCCCCCTGCACCCCCTTTCCCCCTGCACCCCTTTTCCCCCTGTACCCCCAGCCCCCGCCGGCAGGACTCACCGATGTAACGCTCGCTCTCGTCACTCTGGCCGCCGATGGCCACACGCCCACAGCCCAGCAGGCCCTGCAGCCGCCGGAACTGCTTCTCCCCGATGATGCGGCCCAGGTCCGGGGAACTTTTGGGGTCCTCGCCATAGAAGCGGGTGATGGCGCTCTGCATGGCGGGCAGCAGCCGCTCCTGCGTCTCGCGGCTGCACAGGACGTAGTCGGGGGCCACGCAGGTCTGGCCGGTGTTGAAGCAGCGGAACCAGACCACGCGGTTGGCCACGGTCTGCGGGTCACAGTCATCGTCCACGTAGCAGGGGTTCTTGCCCCCCAGCTCCAGCGTGACAGGAGTCAGGTGCTTGGCTGCGGCAGCCATGACGATCTTGCCCACGCGGGGGCTTCCTGGGGACAGAAAGGAACCGGAGTGGCCCTTCACCAGCCAGAGCAGGCAGAGGCCACGGCCTGGGGCTGGGCCCTGAAGGGGTGTCCCTCCCCTCTGAGCCCATCTGGCAGGTGGTTGAGCCAGGTCAGCCAGCCCCCACCTGCCTTTCCTTGACAGTCACTGGTAGGTGCTCAAATCCCAGCCTGCCCCCGTCTCACCCAGGACCCTGTTCATCTCTCCCCGAGACCAACCCCTAATGAACCCGAGTCTATGAAAACTCAGCAGCAGGTCAGGCCCGCAGCCCCCTCCCGGAAGCTGCCTGAGGTCCTTCTTCTTAGAGCCCCTCAGCTCCTAGCCCATCTCTCTGCCTCACATCCTAGGCTGCCCCCGCAGGTGACTCCTTCTAAAACCCTGCACTGCGCCCGCACCCCTCTTCATTCTCCTCTAGAACTTTCAGTGGCTCCCTATCACCCAAGGCTGGAGTTCAGCTCTTAGCCTGGCCAACGTGTGGGTCCCTCCTCTCTCTGATTGGAACCTGGGGGCCCTGCCACCATGACCACCCATCCCTCCCTCCCCTTGCAGGCCCCCCACTCTAAGCAGACTCGCCCGAGCTGAGCCAATCCAGGCCCCGGCCCTACAGAGGCTTGTCCTCCCCTCTCTCCCTGACTCCCAGGGCCTGGTCACCTCTGTTCTCACCGCCTGTTCCCCCACCGCACTCGCTCCCCTCGGGGCCGGCAGTTCTTCCCCAGTGGCCTCTGGCCTCTTTTCAGTGAAATCTTCTGAGCCCGGGTCAGTCCTGCTACCCTGCCCCATCCGCGAGGTGGCGGCACTTGGCACCTTCTGACATGCCCGATCACCTCTCAGAATACCCCTGCTTACTGCTGTCTCCCTCATCACAGTGTGAGCTCCACTCAGGCAGGAAGTTGGTCTTTCTGGTCCCCGCTTTATCCCAGGGCCCCAACAGTGCCTGGATACAATCCACACTCTCAGCAAACATTCACGGAGTGAGTGAATGAGTGAATGAGTGAATAAATGAATGAGTAAGTGAGTAAATGAATGAGTGAATGAGTGGAAGCTCCCAAGGGCCAAGCACTGATAAAGACCTTCGTACATTATTTCATTTGTCCACCAGGCAGACTTGTATCTCAGGGATTACCCCGTTTTACAGATGAGAAAACTGAGGCCTGGAGGAGTCCAGGGAGGGCTGGCAGAGCAGGCTGTGGTGGGGTCAGGCAGCCTCTGCGTAAGCTGGCCGGGCAGGGAGCCTGGCCTGGAAGCTGGCTTCCCGGGGTCTTGCCTTCTCTGGGTGGGTGACGAGCCCACCTCAAGCTGCAGGGAGTGGTGGGGGGGGGCAGGCCGGGGTCCCTCCAGGAATCTGCGTGGGGTTGGCCCTTTCCCAAATGCTGAGGACCCCACCCCTCTGCCCCCACGGTCAAGCCAAGGGAGGCAGGCTCATGCCTAGGAAGAGGAAGGCAGTGGGCGCTGCCCCCCGCTGCGATGGGGCCCAGGCGTGCCCACCTCTGTCTTCTCTCCCCCAGGACCTCCTGCCTCCTTGGCCCCACCACCTCTTCTAGAATCTCTGTCCTGGCCGCCGGAAGCCAGGAGGCATCTGGCCAGTGGGGACATGCCAGGGTGATGGTAGGTGGCTGCTGGGACCCATCCAACTCTCAAGCGCTCCCCAGGGCCTGGTGCAAACCCAGGCTGCCCCACCCCACCAGCGGGCGGCATGGGCAGGACCCTGCATGCCTTCGTCCCCCCCCGAGCTTCCGCCCCTCGTGTTGGCAACCTGCAGGAGGGCTGGGGGCAGCGGGGCCGCAGCCTAAGTGCCTGGACAGCAGGCCCAGCGAGAGTCATGGGGATTCTGGAATTGTGGTGGGTGGGGCCGGGCCAGTGGCTAGAACGAGGCCCTTCCTGGGGGCTCTGAGGCGTCTCCCCAGCCTGCTTGTGGAGCCCCGAGGCACCTGCTCTGCACGGCCTGGCCTGGGTCTGCATCCTCTTTCAGGTTTGGGGACAAGACCCCTGAGGGTGGGGCTGGACTCAGGCCTCCACCTTCCTGTCCCACCCCCGTCACCCCCGGCCTCTCCCTGGCCATCTGCCTCCTGCATGGCCGGCCGCAGCAGCACCCCTCACCTGTGAAGAAGATGTAGTCGAACTTGTTCTCCAGGAGCTGCTGCGTCTCCTCGGGCCCGCCCAGCACCACGGCAAAGCAGCTCTGCAAGGGGCAGCAAAGGCTTCTCTGGGACCCCCAGCTAGAGAGCCCTGAGACCACCCCGGCCTGGCCTGGCCTCCATTCCCCCTTGCCTGCCCGGACCCAGAGCTGCCAGGGCTCTAGGTGGGCCGGGTATGGATGGGGTGGGCAGTGGGGACCTCCCCAAGGCTGCCGGGCAGGGACGGTAGGGACAGTCCCAGCAGGCTGGGGCTAGCTGGAGGGCTGAGGCCCGGGCCAGCAGAACTGACCAAAAGACACGGGCCCGGTGTTGAGGAGCTGGGGGACCCTGGGGACAGGCTGCCCTGGCCCACTCATCAGAGTGCACCTGTGATCACCCCACACTGACTTAGTCAGAGGGAAACTGAGGCTGACAGGGCAGGGGCTTGGCCAAGGCTGCATAGCTCGGAAGAGGCGGAACTGAGCTTGGAATAGGTCTGACCCACAGGCTACTCCGCTTCCCTGCCAGCATCTGTCCCTGCCTGACCCCTGTGGGGTAGGGGCTGCCCTGTGCCTCTGCTCTGCCCATGGCCCTGCTCACCTGGTCCAGGTATCGGGGCAGCACCTCGGCCAGGACCCTCTCCATGTTCTTGCTTATCTCTGAGGGCTTCAGCACCACGCAGTTGCCTGCAGGTACAGGCGGGCAGGACAGGGGAGGGATGTGGGCCCCCCTGGGACCCTCGAACATCAGCATGGGGAGCAGGGAGCGGAAGGGTGTAGGCCCCCTCCTGGGACCCTTATGCCACTTCATTCAGGCCTGACACCTGCAGGGAGGCGCCTCACCCCAGCTCACATGAGAATCATCATTCAGGCTTGACACCTGCAGGCAGGCGCCAGCCTCACCCCAGCTCAGATGAAGAAGCTGGTCCAGAGGGGTAAAGTGGCCAGCCCAAGGCCACACAGCCTGCGGGTGGTGTCCAGGCTTCTCTGCCACCTGGTGCCAGCACCCTCTTCTCACTGGCCCCGTGGGCAGCCAAGGCCATGGCGGGGGGGGGGGGGGGAGGGGAGGCCCACGGCTCACCTGCAGCGAGGGCGCCCACCAGGGGCACCAGGGTCAGGTTCAGGGGGTAGTTCCAGGGGGCGATGATGAGGACCAGGCCGAAGGGCTCCTTCCGGATGAAGGCCGAATCCAGCTGTGTGGCCTGGGCCGGGGTCAGGGGAGACGGTGGTGAGCAGTGAGGAGCCTAAGACCCCGCCTCCCAGGCCCCCCACCGCCCCGCACAGAGAGGCCCAGTGGGGAGCAAATGGTCCCCAACTCCCCTGCCCGCCAGCCCGCCCGGCTCACTCACCAGGTTTCTGGGCACTTTCTCGTCCTTCATCCAGGCCCGCAGGTTCTTGAGGGCCAGGTTAACCTCGCCCTGGCTCATTCTGATTTCGGATACCTCCGACTCAAAGGCTGACTGTGGGCAGGGACAGGGCAGTGGGCGGGAGCCCTGGGGAGGGGCTGCCGGCCCTTGGGGATGCGGCCCCTCCAGGCAAGGCGGCTCCTATCACTCGCTCATTCACACCAAGTTCTGTTTTCACACGCGTTCACTGAGTGCCCCCTGTGCGCAGGCGCTGCATGTGAGGCTAAAACCCACGGAAACACCCGCCGTGCGGAGGTGACCTTAGGGGGCGGCCTGTCAGCACGACGATGAGAAAGTCTAGGGTTGTGCTGGGACGGAGAAGTGCTACAGAAGCATGACACAGGGTGAGGGCGTAGAGATCGCCAGATTGTGTGTGTGTGAGCGTACGCACGAGCACTGCCTGAGTGTGTGTGAGCGTGCAAGTGTGCATGAGTGTGCATAGGTGTGTGAGTGCAGGAGTGGGCATGAGTGTGAATGTGAGCGTGGATGACTGTACGTAGGTGTGCACGCCCTTGCACAAGTGTGTGTGCATGAATGAGTATGTGAGCGGTGCCTGGGAGTGTGAGTTGGTGCGTGAATGTGCATGTGTGTGACTGGATTGTGAGTGAATGCATGAGTACGTGAGCACGCGTGTGCACGAGTGTGCGTGCATGTGTGAGTGTGTGAGTGTGCATACGTGTGTGACTGCATGAGTGTGTACATGACGCGGGCGTACATGAATGTGCAGTGTGAATGTGCGTACGTGAGTGTGAGTGGATGTGTGTGAGTGCACAGGAGCGTGTGTGTGTGCTCTATTTTATACAAGATGGTCGGTGTGGGCCTCTGGGGTGAGGGGACATTTGAGCAGAGATGTGAAGAAAGGAAGGGAGGGAGCCCGTGGACACCTGGAGGCAGAGCATTCCTAGCAGAGGGCACGGCTTGTGCAAAGGCCCTGAGGTGGGCGTGGGCTTGCTATGCTCCTGATTAGCAAGGAGAGGTGATGGAGCCAGGCGGCCAGGCAGAGCAGGGACAGGATGGGACTTCAGCTGTCACAGGACAGCCTGGGCACGGCTGTGTGCAGGGTGGTCTGCAGGGGGCACAGCATCGTTCTCACAGCCGGGGGCCAGGGATCACTGTCAGGTCTCCAGGGCAGGAGTGAGGACGGGGCAAAATCAATAGGGACATTGTTCTGCTCTCTGCCAGTGGCATGCCCTGCCCTACCCCAACCAGGGAGGAGTGACAGGCCAGTGGGCTGCAGGCAGCTGGAGACCAGTGCCCAGGAACATGGAGTGGCTGTCTTCCCGCCAGAGACACTGCCGCCACAGTGCAAGCTCCAGGTGTTGTGACCTAAGAGGAAGAAGCCACACACACCCAGGGCTTCTAGAAGCTGAGCCCGGTTCAAGCATACCTTCAGCTCCGTCTGAGTCCATAGTCCATGCTCTTGCCCAGGGAGCCGGGCGACCTGGCCACCATGCCTGGTAAGCCACCCCTGACACGGGCAAGGTTTGGGCAGGGTGTACAGGAAGGTCTGGGCCCAGCTGAACACCGCAACTTGGGGAGACTGGGCTATTTTGAGCCAGGTTCAAATCCTGGCTCTTCCTGGCTGTGTGCCCCAGGGCAGGACCCTGCCCTCTCTGAGCCTTACTGGGGGACGCTGGGCATGGTGGCCACCCTACCCGGAAGGGCTGTTGGGGTTAATGAGATACTGCATGGAGCTGCAGGGCAGATGCTGCCTGCTGCCAGAGGGAGGGATGAGATAGAATTTTCTGGGCTGCTGCTCCATTTGTGGGGCCCTGGGCTCCTGGGGCCTCGAGCACCCTGGGTTGGCAGGAGGCTCGTAACCCAGACAGGAGGGCGGGAGGAGAAATCTGAGCAGAAGGGAGAAGAGGGACAAGATAAACTGTTAAATCTGGTCCCAGGAGGAGGGCGGGCTGGCAGGTGGGAGGTGGCAGGGGCACAGGGGGCAGGGAGGGAGGACAGAGGGCATGCCCCCTACCCGGGCCCTGGCCAGGCACAGTGAAAGGGATACTCCCTTGCTTAGGGGAAAGCCCAGGAGAGGGTGGTCAAGGCCCTGGTTTTCATAAATGGGGAGAAAGATGGACCCCAGACACAGCAGAAAAAGGGGCTCGAGTCCCCCTGGCTTCCTAGTATACAGAAGGCCCAGGGCACGGTGAGAAGCAGGCAGCACCAGGAAGCCCACATCCTTGGGACAAGTCCTCACCACCAGCCTCTGCTGTCCCTGTGGAGCGGGGTGCCCGACACACGACCCCCCATGCTACAGCCTCATACTTCAGTGACCGTGCCTGGTCCACGGACGAGGTGCACACTTGGCTGGATCGAGTAGTCACAGCCCCCAGAGACGCTGTGAGCAGCCGCCTGGTTCTCAGACATCCTCGTCCCCATCACTCCTTGGGTGGAGCGGACAGGCCCTCCCACGGGCAGGGAGGGGGACCCGAGGGTCAGACAGCAGGCCCAGGGCAGCTGGGCACGATCCCAGGGTCAACGTGAAGTCTTGCACGTGGGCTTAGGAAGCCGCAGGCCCTTCCTAGAAAGTCTTGGGTTTGGGGTAAAGACAGGACTAATGTGAGCCAGTGGGTGACAGTTTGGCCCCCTGGAGCCAGGGGCTGACCAGCAGGGGCCATGCACCCCCAGCTCCTCGTGGAGGCTAAATATCAAATTAGGTGCTTACAGATGGCCGAGAGCCACAGGCCTGACCCTTGGACGGTTCTGGGTGGTGAGGTGCCGGTGGGGCATAAGGGGTGGCTCTGAACCCTGTGGACTGGAGACATGGACAGGGGACATTTTGTCCAGAGAAGAGGAGCTGGGGGCAGCCATGTGGGTGGGCCCTGCTGTCTGGGGGGTGGGGCACTGGCTACAAGGAAGTGAGTTTCTTGGGGGTCCACCATGGCTAGTGCTGGGGTTGGCGGGGCTGAACCTCCAGGTCCTGAGGGCTTGGCAGAGACCGTGACATCCACCTGCCCAAGTGAAGATGAAGTCTGCCACAGACTACAAGGCCCGCCTCCCCGGACCTCAGCTTTTGTATCTTTCTGCTCCAGCCACACTGGCCTCCTTGCTGCTCCTCAACCACAAACACACCAAACACCACCTGCCTCAGGGCCTTTGCACGTGCTTGCCCTCTACCGTTTTCCCCAACGTCCACGTGGCTCCCTCGCTTTCCTCCTTTATGTCTCTACTCAGATGCCACCTTCTCAAAGAGAGCTTCCCTGACTGGCACATACAAAGCAGCACCCCCATCCGGCCCCCTCTCTCCCCTTCCCACGGGGAGTGTCTCTCCATGGCACTTGCTACCATCCAACATGGTGTGTAATGACTTATTTACAGTAGTTCTCCTTTATCCAAGGTTTCCCTTCCTGGTTTCAGTTACGTGTGGCCAACCTCCATCCGAAACTGTTGGGTATGTAGTGTGATGAAATCTCACGCCATCCCACTCCGTCATTCACGTAAATTTTACCACAGTATACTGTTATAATTATTTGTTATTGTTGTTAATCTCTTACTGTGCCTAATTTATAAGTTAAACTTCATCATAGGTATGTATGTGTAAGACAAAATATAGCATATATAGGGTTCGGTACTATCCAAGGTTTCAGGCATCCACGGAGGTCTTGGAATGTATCCTCCGTGGATAAGGGGGGACTACTGTACTTCCCCAGAAGGTCAACTCCATGGGCACGGGAACTTTGTTTTATTCTCTGCTGTGTTCCCAGAGCCTAGAACAGTGTCTGGCACACAATAGGTGCTTGATAAATAGTTGTCGGACGGATGGATGGATGGATGGATGGATGGATGAATGATGGATGGATGGATGGATGATGGATGGATGGATGATGGATGGATGGATGGATGGAAGAAGGATGGATGGATGGATGGATGGATGGATGATGGATGGATGATGGATGGACAGATGCAGGTTTTGGCCTAGGGAAGAAGTGGGATGGATGGGCTTTAGTTCCCTTCATGAAGGATGCAGTTGTCCTAGCCCCCCTCCACCCTAGCTGTGGGGTGCACCCCCCACCCCCAGATCTCCACCCACCCACCCCACCTTGCCCACCTTGTGCAGATCCTGTGCCAAGGCGTCCTGCAGAAGCTGCTTGTTCTCCCGCAGGAAGCGGCCCAGGCCCTTCAGCTGCGTAGCCCGGAAGTCAGCTGCCTGCGTCTGCCCCGACCTGAAGGCCTCGCGCAGCCTCTGCAGTGTGTCTGCGAAGGGGTCCATCCTACCGGGTGGGAACAGCATGGGCTTCAGGGCCTCCCACCCTCCACAGGCCTCCAACTACCCTGGCACCTTGCCCTGTCTGCACGCACAGGGTTCCCGTGGGGGGCCCCATGAGGACCAAGGGCTGCCTGTGCTCCCCTAAAGACACCACCCACACATACATGGATCCCCACCACCACCGCACACAGACACTCATACACGCAATGACAGACCCAGCGGGCAGGAGGGGCAGGAGGACCCCGGGCTGCAGGGCGCTGTGGGACTGGGCGTGGGCTTGGGGGACATCTAGTTCACTGCCTGAAGGTGGGCAGGCAGGCATGGAGAAGTGAGCCCAAGCCATGGGGCTGACAGGTGCCCCAAGGACTCCCTTACGCCGCTCCGGTGTCCCTCTTGGAGATGGGGCGGCTGTCAGGCCTGAGCCCCAAGTAAGCAGGGGGCATCTGACCAGCAGAAGGAGGGGAAGAGGCTGCTCACCAACCCCCACTGCGCCACCACCTCCGTACATTCCAGACGCAGAATGCCCCGTCCTCCCTGCCCCCAGCTGGTGGCTGGGCTGGCTCAGAGTGACCCGGGCAGTGGCCTTCCCTCCCAGTGCCTCAGCTTCCCCAGCAGGCAGAGAAAGGATCACTCCAGCCTCCTAGCGGCAGTGTTAGGGAGGGGAGGTAGCGGTGGGGGCTGGGGAGCAGTCATGCCTCCATGCTGTCCCCAGCCAGGCCTGGCAGAGGGCAGGGGCCGCGATGTTCCCCAGGGCCTGCGTGTTTACCTGAGGCTCATCAGAAGAGCTCTGTGACGCACTCACTCCTCAGCCTGGTGCCAACGACCTGCCTGTGGGGCCCTTCCTCCTCCTTCTCTGACTCCCTTCCCTTCAGGTCTCAGCTCGATGTTGCCTCCTCCAGGCAGCCCACCCTGATTACTCCCCCCTACATACATACATACATACATACACACACACACGCGCACACACACACACACACACACACACTCATTCACAGTGACCCCTGCCCACTTGGCTTTGCCCCCACCACACCGGGTCACACCGTGTGATAAGTACCTGGTTACCTCTGTCTGGCCTCCCGCCCCCTCCCCGCTGCCCCTCCACTGGACTGGGAGGCAGCCCTGCTTTGCCTACTTAACTCTCCTTTAGGCCTTACCGCCCGGATTTCCTCATCTGTTTGCTGGCAATGATAGCACCCACCAGCCCACGGGCAGGGTGTTTGTCAGCAATGAAACCGCACCCTCCAGTCTGAGCCCAGCGCTCAGCATCAAGGTCCCAAGGCTGCAGCTGTCGCTGTTAAGTCTCCTTACTCTCTCGGGCCTGTTTTCTGGGGGGGTCTGCCGGGCTGGGGCCGAGCTCACCCCACAAGCCCCAGAAAGGGCAGAAGACGGACATTCTCAGAGCTCTGCCCGGGCACAGATCTCCCCTGGGGACCCTCCTGGAGAAAGGGGCGCTGGGCAGAGCAGACCCAGGACCCCAGAGCCAGTGTCTCTCAAGCCTCCATCCTAGGCTTGTCTCCTGACTCTGCCTCTTACTCTGTGTGTGACCCTGGACAAGTCACTCACCCTCTCTCTCGTCTATGGTTGTGAGGATTAAAAGATGCTGCATAAAGCATGTGGCATTGTGCCTAGTATATAATAGGTGCTCAATAAAGGCCAGCTGGAGGCAGTCATGGTTCAGTGGTAACATTCTTGCCTTCCATGCTGGGGACCCAGATTCGATTCCTGGCCAATGCTTCTCATGTGCAGCCACCACCCATCTGCCAGTGGAGGCTTTCGTGTTGCTAGGATACTGAATAGGTTTCCAGACTAAGACTAGGAAGAAAGGCCTGGCGATCCACTTCCAAAAATCAGGCAATGAAAACCCTATGGATCGCAACAGGCTGATCCACAACAGATCATGGGGATGACACAGGACCAGCCAGCATTTCGTTCCATTGTGCATGGGGTCACCATGAGTCGGGGGCGGACTCCATGGCAGCTAACAGCAAAGGCCAGCTGGGTATTCAACTAAGTTCCAAGTACTAACCAAATATTTATTCCCCCTTCCTTTCTCTGTCCTGTCATCACCCCCAGACTTCTGCTGATGGATGTGATGGCAAACCGCACCTGCCTCCCTCCCGCCCGCCAGGACTCCGTACTTTCACAAGATTCTCCAAAGAACCCACAAAAATGCAGGGCACATAACTGGACTTGTGGGCGAGGTGATGGGCAAGGGAGCTTTGCAGTGGGCAAGGGCCTGGACAGAACATTCCAGCAGCCCCTCCTGGCAACACTGAGGCCAGGCCACCCCAGCAGGGCCGTCCCAGGTCTGGCATTGTCCCCCTGTGAGCTGGTCACTCTGGAAGTCCCCAGGGAGTGCCCGTTCGGGGTGCGGAGGAGCTGGGCTCGACCCAGACCAGTGGAACAGCAAGGCCGCCTTCTTGCAGGATCAGGGTGACCTTGGGTCTATGTCCCCACAAGGAAGCTGAGCAGCCCTTGCAGACCCACAGATGAGGGCTGGACCAGGTCTGTCTGATGCTGCGTAAGTTTGTAAGGATCTTGGCTGATGTTTATCAAATGCCCACCCTGTGCCCACCCTGTGGGACCCCTTTCCCGGCAGCCAGCAAGAGGACCATCATTGTCCCCATTGAAGGAGATGGAGATTGAGGCACAGAGAGGTCAGGGGCTGGCCCGGACCCCCAGCTTCCTCACCCTGGAAACCCAGCCTGACCACAGCATACTCAGTCCCCTGGGGAGGGGCAGCCAGGGCCTGTCTGGGCATGTCAGTGGGGGCAGGGAGTGCCAGTGAGGGAGAAGTTGCCCTGTTTGTATTCCGCTCCCCTGGCCTCCATCTCTCACCATTCTGGCCAACCCCCACTGGGCTAGGCAGGGCTGCAGACCCATCCTTGCCTCCTTGGGCTGAGCCACTGGGCCCCAGTGGGCAGTGAGCCGAGGGGTCCCTGGGGTGCGGGCCCCCACGGCGGGCTGAGGCGGCCCAGCTTAACTCCCTGCTTAGCTGCATCTGTCCTGGACCTGGTGCTGCAGGGTGCAGGTGAATGGGGTGGGAGCTGCTAAATCATTTGATGGTGAAAGGTGGGCCTGTGGGCTGAGGAGGACCAGCTACTTCCCTTCAAGGCCATGGGCCTGGGGACACCTCTAACATAACAGGCACTGACTGTGCAGGTGCCGTGCCAATGTGGGGCTTGATGTGGGTGCAGGGTGGGTCCTAGCTCCATGCCCCTATTATAGCAAAGGAAGCTGAGGCCCAGGGGTGTCATGTGGAATCCAGGAGAGGGGAGAATGGGCCGACCCTCAGGCCTGCTGCCTCCAAAGCATCATGGGGCAATACCTGCTGCCCAAACCACTTCCTCCCCCGGGGCAGGGCCCTGCTGATGGGCACTCCAATGGTGCAGCTACCCCTGCACCTCTCCCAAGCCCACCTGCCAGCGGGAAAGCTCTGCCCGTTCACGCCTTCTTTCTGCCTCGGTTTCCTTGTCTACATTGTGGCCTTCCGAGAGCATCCACCAAGTATGGAGTCTGGAGCCCAGTCCCCTGGGTTTGAATACCAGCTCCTCTGTGTACAGGCTGGGAGACCCTGGGCAGGTTGCTTGGCCTCTCTGTGGCTCATTCTGCCCATCTGTAAAATGGGGGTGACACCTGTAGCCGAGAGCCCAGGTGGCACAGTGTTTAAGTGCTCGACTGCTAACCGAAAGATCAGTGGTTCGAACCCACCAGCAGCTCCACAGGAAAAAGATGTGGCAGTCTGCTTCCATAAAGATTACAGCCTTGGAAACCCTATGGGGCAGTTCTACTCTGTCCTCTAGGGTCACTACAAGTTGGAGTCAACTGGACAGCAATGGGTTTTGGTATGTGGGTACCTGTAGTTACCCCACAGCACTGTTGGGAGAATTCCAGTATGTTATTGTTTGGTGCCATCGGGTTGGTTCCGACTCACAGCCACCCCATGTACAACAGAACGAAACGCTGCCCGGTCCTGCACCATCCTCACAAGTGTTGTTATGCTTGAGCCCATCGTTGCAGCCACTGTGTCAGTCCATCTCGTTGAGGGTCTTCCTCTTTTTCGCTGGCCCTCTACTTTACCAAGCACGATCTCCTTCTCCAGGGACTGGTCCCTTCTGATAACATGTCCAAAGTACGTGAGACAAAGTCTCACCATCCTCGCTTCTAAGGAGCATTATGGCTGTACTTCTTCCAAGACAGATTCGTTCATTCTTCTGGCAGTCCATGGTATATTCGATATTCTTCCCCAACACCGTAATTCAAAAGCATCTATTCTTCTTTGGTCTTCCTTATTCATTGTTCAGCTTTCGCATCCATATGAGGCGATTGAAAATTCCAGCATAAAGCTGCCTAAAGTGCTGGGCACAAGGCCCGAGACAGCGTTTAAGTGCTCAGTGATGATGGCTCTAAGGAATCATTATCCGGGAGACCTCTGGGGTGGGAGTCCAGGGCGGGGGCAGCCTTGAGACAGCCTGGGTGCCAGGGGAGGTGAGGACATCACCCTGAGATCCAGGTGGGGGGCGCATGTGGAGCCAGAAGCGAACAGGGTGGTCTGAGAGCCTAGGGACCCCCCCCATCAGGGCTGCCAGAATATGGGGGCATCACTGGGCCAGACTCCAAGAACCCCACAGGCCCCGATCGTCCAGGATCTCCCACTGTAATCTCCCACCGTTCACCTGTGTTTGCATAGGTCTCCTGCAGCTCGAGGCAGCGGTCCCCTCGCCCATGGGGTCTGCGGGGTATGGGAACCAGTGCGGCCCACAGGCAGAGCCAAGCCCCTCTGATGATAATGTCTTGTGGAGCCAGACAGAGCAGGGCCACTGGTCCCTCCTTCCCTGGCAAAGTTCATCGACAAGAACGATTGTCTCTCAGACCCATTCGCTCTGGGGCCCCAGTCCCAGCGTTGGCAGCAGGTGGCCGAGAGCCATCTGCTGCCCCAGAGGGTGCTTGACCCATCCAGGGATGGGAGGCTCCACAGCTGGACCCCTCAGTTCCTTAAAGGAAGCCCAGTGACCCCAGGAAGACAAGGGCACGGCAGCCGGCTGGGGCAAAGCGACTGTGCTCCCAGGGACACCCGTGGCCCTCCTCGGCCCTCCCTCTCTAGCTCTCTTCACTCAGCCAAAGGGAAGTCCCTCCCTCCCTCCCCTTTCTCCTCGAGCTCTGCCAGGACAAGGCGGGTCTGTGTGTGCAGCTGCCAACGGCCTGGACCGCCCAGAAGGCCCAGCCTGCCGGGGTCCCTGGCTCCGACCACTCACCCACCATGGCGCCGTAACCCCAGCCTCTCCAGGATGCCGTACCTAAGCCTCGCCAAATTGCCTTTCCTCCTGGCCGCCCTGCTCTGCCCAGCTGCCTGGCTGTTATGAAATGGCCCGGCTGGGCCGGCCCCTGGGGCGGGGCTGCCCTGGTCCCGTGCCTGACCGTGGCTCTGGGCTGGCTGGAGTCTGAAGGCCAAGATTTCACCATCGCCTCCCTCGGGGGCTTTCAGATCCTCTCTTGCCACTAGAGCCCCCCAGAGAAGGAGCTGGTGGCCCAGAGAAGGCTGGCACCGGGCCAGGGCCACACGGCAGGTCTCCGGGAGCTGAGCTGAGTGGCACAGCCTGGGGAGGAGGATCCACGACAGCGGCCTGGAGATCCCAGTGTGTGGGGGGGGTGGGGAGGGGAGGCTCGGGAGCCTGGAGTGGGAGGCCTTGCTTCCCCCACCCTAACTCCTCTTTGAGGTCTTCCCTCTGAGCCTCAATTTGCCCATCTGCAGAAAGAAGAGGTCAGACCCAAAGATGGCTGCAGTCTGAAATTCAGCCTCAGGAACCGTGCCTGCTGCCTGCCTGTTTCCCACCCTCCACACATCTGCATCATCACCACCACCCTGGACCTGTCATCCACACCACCATCCCACCCACCACCCCGCTCCCAGGGCCTGTCACCATCACCACCGTCCCACCCACCACCCCACTCATGGGACCATCACCATTACCACCATCCCACCTACCACCTCACTCACAGAGCCCGTCACC